TAGTCGGAGTAATCGTGTGATGGACGTCGTCGTCATCGTCATTGTCCGCGATAAACGCAGAAACGATAGGAAAAAGCGCACGATTGCAATCGCATCGTTCTCGATAATCTTGTAATATTTCCTCTTTCTCTCTCTCTCTCTCTCTCTCTCTCTCTCTCTCACTCAGGCTACTAACATATCTTTGTCTTTAATATGTTTAACGAACCGAACTCGGAGCTTTCGAAACATAAAGGATGTCGAACCTCATCCCATTCATCTTCCTTCCGTTGCTCTCACGTTCTCTTTCTCTATCTTTCGTCTCTTTGATTTCTCCAGTCCTGTAATTTGAGTTTTTGCCCCCCTCGTCCCTAATACTTTTACACTTTATACGAGCATACACACACACACACACACACACACACACACACACAAATATGTACACACTTTATACACGTAAAATGATTTCCGCGCACGAGAAACTCTCAGATATTCAACGCGGAGAAACACAAACAGACGAACAGACAGACAAACAAGACCAGAGTGTGGCCCTCTCTGCAAAATAGCTACAACGCTGCTTGTGCCTCTCCGCAGAAGAAGATTGGGAACGTGAATTGGAGGCCGAGCTAAAGGATTACGAGGTTGTAACGGACAGCAATAGCGGCGTCGGTAGCGGCCAGGAGAGGAGCGTCGCGACGGCCACGAAAGACATCACGGCCAACGATAATGACTGGGAGAAGCAGATAGACGAGCTGCTCGCCAACGAGGACGACGAGGACCTCAAGTGAGCCGGGGAGATCCTCTCCGTGACCGGATAAAAGGTCGCTTCGCATTGAGAGATCGCGCGCAAAGAAATCCGGCGGTGAGATGCGGCGAGCCGGTTTTCGCATTGGAACTTTCTCTCTGATACGGAGAAGCTCGCGAATTTCTTTTGTACGTGTGCATTATCGGTCTTTCGTTGATCTCCTGATCCGGGACCGAGGGGAGAAACGAAAGGACGAAGCGATACCCGAAGCGAAAATCAAGTCGTCGATCAACCATTTCGTTTAGGAGATCGATTCGACGGATGGATTGAGGCTCGTTTTGTATATGCGTATTAATTTTTTACGATATAATGTTATTTTGTAAAGAAAAATCTGTACATCGGATTGCTTTGAATTTGTATTTAACTTTAGTAAATTTTTCTCGCTCTTCAATTTTTTTTTTTCATTTGTTGCGTGAGAAATTCTTACTATTATTTAGGGATAACGATCTCTCATCGTCGTTGTATATTGACACGAAAGTATAGAAATGCAACCATTCGAGATTGATAGGATTCTTCCCGCTGAACCGGCTTCTCCTCCACTTCTCGACAAGTTGCGAGAGAAGTCGTGACGTGTCGAAATGTGACGTTTCGTTACCTTTTATTTTCGCTTGTTACTCTCCGTACAAACTCCGTTAAAATAGAAAATGCGAAAACGCCCTTTCGTCGCAGGGAGAGTACAGTTGCGGAAGGCCGCGTCAAAAGGGTTCTTCTTATTTCGATCCGTCACCGATCTCCCGACGGACGGGAAAAACGCGAATAAAGACGACGCGAGATTCTTTGAGACTCGGCTCGCTCTCGAGAAATGTGTCGGGATGAAACGACGGAGTCAGGCGTAAGGATACAAACCGGAAACCGCACGAAATATTCTCGACACACGGAAAATCGTCAGAAAAATGGGGGATTGTAACTGTGTAAAAATGGGAGCGAGAGAGATAGAAACGAGACGGAATCTCTCCAGCATTTATTTTGTTTTTTTTTCCTTTTTTTTTAATTTCTCCGAAAATGAAGCGCATTTTTTATGATCCTCGAGCACGATGAACACGGTCCATCGTCGCCGTTTTTACAGCTCGGTGGTGCCCAGGACTGACCAGGGAAGGAAGTTACAACATCCGATTGTTGTAACTTCGGAGAGAAACGGATGCTGATGAGCACATGAATTAACTAACACCACAAGCTTATGTCAATTATCGGACGCCGTTGTTCGAGAACATAATGTTGATTATAAACGATAAATGTCTTCAAAGTTGTGTGATATTAAACTAAAATTAATTTGAAGTATGATCGATGGCGGTGCACAGAAACACACGTTGTTCGTACACGAACGGTCTTCATCGTGGTCGAGAGATCGACGATTTTTCAAGATAAATTACACTGCCGTGTGCCGAAGGACACCGTTTCGAACGCGAATTGACGATCGCGATCGGTGGCGCGTTCCCTCGCGAGCTCAGCCACAAAATTAAAGACTATTCTCGAATAATTGTGAAAACCGTTTCGTAATCTTTTAATATATTAGGAAGTCTCCAGCTCGCAAACGAGCACAAATGCGCCACTGAACGCTGTCATCCCTTCGTGTCGCAAGCCGACGCTTTTTTATCGCAACGGCGCTTTTCGTTGTTGATTGCCGGCAATTATCGCCGATCGCGAAACAATACAGTCTACGAATTCACGACATTCGAGGACAAAGAACCGGTTCGGCTCGACGAAATAATGTCTGCGATTAGAAACACTCGTCGTTGATTTAGCGAGAGATTTTACGATTAGGTAAAAAAAAACGGAACGGCGTTAGATTTAGCGATGTATTGTTCAGCGTTTTTGACAAAATCTGTAGATAAGATGCGAAGTATTATCGCCGTCGGTGATGACGACGATGACGATGACGATGTTGAGAGGAGAGCGTGGTCTCGTTATTAAGTTTGTTCTTGTCGATAGCGGAAGTGTTCCGTTTTAAGCATTATTTGTATTGTGTCCAAGTGAATTACGCTGTAAGGATGACATGTTCGCGTTGTCTGTACGGACGGAATATCGTAACAATAAATCATTGCATTGACAAAACTCCAATGGCATGTATCACGCTGTTTCATTTGTTGAAATACACACCGACGGGAATAAAGTTTTCTCTGTTTGATTGCACCACCCAGAGTAGCGCGGCGCAACATTTTGTTGGTGCAACATTGTTCTCTGTGTGACATACCGTCCAATCGTCCTCTGCCACTGGAAGAAACAGGAAGAAATAGTTGACTTTTGCAGTCGGAAAGAAATTTTTGCGACAATAAAATCTCGCGTCACGCGGATTCTATCATTTGAATACGATATTAATACCGATAAATCAGACAAAGCGCGCGCGCGCGCGCGCGCGCGCGCGCACGCGCGCGCGCGCACGCACACACACACACACACACACACACACACACACACACAACTAAATTAAAAT